CCCCCGCCCCCCGGCCCCGCTCACACTGCAACAGACAAAGTATTATTGTTAATAACTACATTTTATTGTCATAACAATACATTTTTATATCTGTTAACAATCATTTTATAGAAAATAATAAAGACCATTTCAGTTCAAATATCTTCAAATACGTTTTTAGACAAGACATAATGTTGCCAGAGACTTTATGACTAGAGCTTTGCATGCGGAAATGTTTTTTGATATTGAATAATTAAAAAAATATATATTTACGATATATCCAAAGTTTGAGGAGATTCTTTATGATCTATTCATTCATTCACCGGCAAGAACTTGTCTCTGGTTATAGCAAAAAATAAATCAATTCAAGGTATCAAAGTTGGCAGTAATTATTAGAATAGTTAAAAATGTAACTAATTAGAACTAAGTAATCGTGCCCTGACTGACAAGACTGACAACTGACAAATAGCTGCAAATGTAACATTAAACAAATATTAAAATTATTATAAGTAACCACGACCGACATACAATACTAGGAAAACTATACCCACATATAAATACTTAAAACTACGACAAGAAGTGTAAAGGTGTAAGGCGAGGGTGTGAAGGCGCTAGAAGGGGCTAGAAGAAGATGTCCATGTACTGACCCTGGTCGAAGGTGCTGGGGTTGATGTAGGAGAGCAGGTCCTGGTCGCTCATGTCGGTGAGGCCCTGCACGGGGCCCGACATCTCCTGCGACACCGCCTGCGACACCGCTTGCGACACCGCCTGCGACACCGCCTGCGTGACCGCCTGCGACACCGCCTGCGACATCGCCTCGAGCGGCGTCTCCGCGGCGGGCTCCGCGGGCGGCTGCGCGTCCGCCGCGCCCGCCGGCAGCCCCGCCCCGCCCGCCGCGCTCTCCGTGCTCAGGATGTTGGCCGTGTTGATGGCCGACGTCACCAGCGCGTTCATCGTCGTGTCCGAGGTGAGGATCTCCGCGGCCGCGTTCAGGATCATGGACTTGACGGCGGCCGGCGGCGTCTTCACCGAGGTGGGGATGTCGGGGATCATGATGAGGTCGTCCTGCGAGCCGGCCGACGGCAGCACCATGCGCTGCCCGCCCTCGCACAGCAGGCTCGGCGACACCTGCGGGTTCAGAATCACGTCGGGCGAGATGGAGGACTGCGCCATGGCGGGCATCAGCTCGCCGCCGGCCGCGCGGCTCACCACGGCCGCGTTGGGGCTCAGCAGCACGTCGGAGGCGTGCGAGGCGGAGGAGGGCGAGGTGGTGCCCGACAGGTGGTCGTCCACGCGGGAGTTTACCAGCTCGTCCAGCTTGGCGGCGTCGGCGGGCAGGATGGCCGCCGTCGCCTTCATGGCGTCCTCCACGAGGGCTTCCATGTGCGCGCTCTGCTGCGCCAGCCGCCGCTCGATCTGCGACGTGCCGAGCTCCATCTTGGTGAGGACGCCGAAGGGGTTGAAGGTCTCCTCGGGCCGGTCGGTCTGCATCTGGTTGTAGACGATCATGCGCTGCTCTGTGGTGGGCTGCAGCACGCCCCCCTGCAGGTTCGACTCCCGCATCAGGAGGTCGGAGCCGAGGACCTTCATGTTGCTATCGAGCGGGTCCAGGGAAGTCTTCGCGGACATAAGCTGACGCATGGGGTCCATGATAGGGGGGTCCACGTAGATCTGTCCGCCGCCGTCTGAATTGAATATGGCGGCGGTGACGGACTCGACCATCTTGTCGGTCTGCACCTGGTTCTGTATGGCCTGCAGCTGCTGCGTGAAGGTGGCGAGCGGCGAGGGCGGCTGGCTCGGCGTGGGCGTGCCCGGCGACAGCTTCATGGACTCGTACGCGCCCACGAAGCCCACCTGTGGACATAGTTCTCCCGTTACATTCTATTTTAAACGGTTTTGATGGCATCTAAGCCACAATATATAAAATAATAAAGTTAAAACAGCAATATATTTGATCATTTGTGTTTATCTACGACAGGCAAGAGAATGTGAGTTGTGTGCGCTCTCGCTGAGGTGTGTCAGTGTGTGGGCGCGGTGTCGTGTGGGCGCGTGGGCGCGGGGCGGACCTGGTTGGCGGAGTCCCGGCCGGTCTCGGTCTTGAGGCGCAGATCGATGCCGGCGAGGGGTGCGGTGTGGGCGCTGTGGGCGCTGTGGGCGGGACGCAGCGAGTCGGGTCCCTCGGGTCCGCAGGAGGTCTCGTCTGACGCGGAGTGCTGGCTGTTCTCGTCCGGTACCTGCGCAAGCACCGCATCCTCTGTCACGTCACGCCCATTGTAATGCCTACTGGACTATATTGCTGTGCCTTTTCACCTCAATACGTCATATGTGTACACATGTCGGACATATATTGTATACAAGAATAAGATAAGATATGTTCCTAGTGATGGACGTGGTTAGGATGGGGTGAGGGTATGTAGTCATAGGAATTACAAGATTTATCCCGACCGCATTTGTATTATGAGCATCTGTAACAAATAGTAGCAAATTAAATTATATAACAGCGTTTACTGCACCAACTACTGATAAGTCCGTTTGCTAGCGAGGCGAAGTACTATTTTAAATCATTTTCAACGTTTATGTAGACGCAATGGTCGGCTTTCTACACATTTGGAACCAAATTAGCCAGTTCAAAAACCTGAGGTGAACGTATTCCAGTTGCTTTAAACATTTTATTGCAGCAAGTGCTGTCTATATAAGTGTAAAGTTTGCTGTTCGAGGATAAAAGTTTTTACACTTGATCAGATAATTGCTAGTCTTTGTGTCTATTACAATAAGGATGATATTGCGACGCACCTCGCTCTTGAGTCCCAGCGGCGAGTGCGGGTCGGGCAGAATGAGGGAGGGGCGGCGCACGGGCAGCGCGGGCGGCGGCATCATGCCGGGCGCTCCGCCCCAGGCCAGCACGGGCCGCGGCTCTTCGCCGGCTCCTGCTGCACCGGGTGCTCCGCTGGTGGATCCTGCACACGCCACACATTATTGACGGGGTGTTCTGACGCACTCTATTGCCTACCTAGTGCCGCTACGCTTGCTGGACTGACGCAAATCACCTTCGTAGCCAATTCTATCTGATGGAGGAATAAAACCTAACTCTTACTCTTTCTGCGCTGAAACGATAAAATTTTTCAAATCTTTTTCATCTCCTTGCTATTGTCCTTTGTTGTGTGTTTTATTGGGAATTAATATAATGGCCACCAAAAAAACCTAACTATTGTAATCGTGCCTGTACTTTTTGTGCTATTGCTATATGTTATGCTTTAAATGTAAATATATTAGTTAAAATTTTACAGTAGTACGAGTCAAGCTTTAGGAATAACGATTTTTACGATATTACTATACTTATATTTCGTGTTTGCTTGCTCGCTTGCTAAGCATAAGCCTTGTTTATTAAAGGCTTTACTGCAATTAATAATATTAATGAAACAGACACAATATGTTTGTCCTTTTAAATTAATAATAACCGATCTTAATGATCTGTTCAAAGTAAAAAATTATGTTTGAAATTTTAAACATTTGAAACTGCTTCTAATTTCTCGAAGAAAATATTGACTTGAAGAAGACTTACAATATTTAATTAAATATCGAGTAATTATTATGTTAATATAATATAATACTGGACGTAAGTTGCCGAAGACGTTTTATCGTTACGAATAAACTTGTAGATATTTTATATATGTTTAAGATTTATTACTCCATCAGATAAAACATGGCGCATTCAATCTTGTATTATATGATGTCGATACATTAAAAAAATATAATTAAAACAAATTCAACACAACATTTTGTTAAAAAAGTTCAAGAAACAGTCTCAATTTTTTTTTTCAAATATAACGTTTTTTTTTTCATCAAATAACAAGGTATTTTGCGCAGTACAGGGAAAGCTACATTTTTAGGGCGGTACGAGAGAGGCTACTTGGGGGAAAGGATGTGTAAAAACTGTAAAAAAATGTGTCATTGAAAAGTAATTTCTCGATTGTGTGACATGATACTAGTTTCAGTAGTTTGTCAAAGTTAAGAAAAACATATAATTTAACATTAAATTAACGCGGTTCATTTTAATATTGTAAATAAATGAAAAAAAAAATAATATACGTTACCCATCGCGCTCGAACAAACTTTCATGAATTTAACAATTAAGTCAGATTAATTTTGTCGGAAAACAAGGTAATATCATGAAAAAATGTTCCTAAACACCTGAAAGCTTGAAATATTACTGAATTAAAGCCCCATATAATGTCGGAATGTTACAAAAATCACGAAATCAAAAAATGCGTATAAGGTTTTTAACGTTACAAAAAAATACCGAATTTCAAAATATTTAAAAAATTGTTGAAAAAAAAAAAGATTTAAAACAGAACGGAATAACAATTTAGTTTCCACTGACGTTGTTTTATGTTAAAAAAAAATCGTTATTAGTTTGATTTGTGGTTTATGTGAGGTATGAATATTTGAAATGTGTTAGAGTGGAGGAATTATAGCTGGAATCGTGTTGGTGCGCCTGAAACTGGGAAAGTTTGTATTTATGAATGTTTGTTTGACGATATTTAACGATTCATAGAACTTTCTAGAATTTGCAACTGTATATATAAATAAATAGTAAGATAGATATTATGTTTAAAAAAAGTTGGTAGAAAATTACGTAGATTCTGAGATGTACTGCACATATGGAATCTTACTGGAAGGAACTCATGCCGTCATTAAGATATTAACCAAGACCGAATTTGAAGAGCAACATTACTATTTGAAGTATCGATAGAAAGAATATCAAATATTTAGAACATACTATATGTTTGTGTGGAGACAGATATAGGGAGAAAGAAGCAGTAACGTGGCGCAGTCTGTGATGGTAGATGTGGGGGTAGACTTGGGTATATCGGTACGGTGGCGCATTGCGCAGTGTAAATGTGAGGGTAGATGTGGGTATGTCGGTACGGTGGCGCATTGCGCAGTGCGCAGTGTCAGTGAGTGTGTGTCAGTACCGTGACGGGCGGCGCGATGCGGGCTGCGGCTGCCGACTCGCTACCTAGACAGACCTAGCTTGAACAGAAAGGGAAAAAGAAACAGTACGCCAATTGCGCATCAGTCATTTCTTCCAAAAGAATATTTCTCACATAATATTGTCTATGGTAACAACCACCGTACGCTAAAACATGCGGAACACAATGAACAACAAGCAACACTTCAACTTTCAACTTGTTACGGCGTTATAAAGCAACATTCTGATTGTTAGAGATGATTCACTCACAAATACAACTAACGCTTTGCTTGTTTTGTCATTTAATTTTTACATATTAAAAAATTACCAAACGTTTCTAAGTATTACTATTGTGTAAAACGTTATATTACCGTAATAAAAAAAAAGACAAAAGCAACGCTGAAAGTAGTATTTGGAGTTAATCTGTCATTATTTGTTACTTTATTATTATGGCATAAAAAGTAATCATTTTGCGTACTTCGTGGTAAATTAAAGCATTTTATTAAAATATATATGTCAAATGGCAAAACATTTTAAGTAACAATTAAAAAAATAGCAAAAAAAAAATGATAGGAACATTATCAGCACACCAAGAAGTACACTGAAAACATATTTTACAAATATCTCTTATTAAGACCAAATAAATAATTGTTATTATATTCCCTTAAACCCAGACGAAATTGTCACAAAGGGTGAATGACTTTGTTATTTTTTTACACAAGCATTTAAAGTTTAATATATTTTTCTTTTATTATTTTTCAGTGTCAAGGTCAAAAACCCTCGCGACAAATACATGTTAGTGTGTTAGATAAAATTGGAGCAATTATGAATTACATTTAATTGACCAGAGAAGCTTCGCATGCATATTTGACATAACATAACAAATTATTAAACAGTTATATTGCATATACAACCAAAGCGAGGTTTTTTGTTGTACATAGATATCCTTTATGTGCAAAATGTATGTAAATTGATTCAGTTATACTTATGCAGGTTAAGTTTACGTTGTTATAACCTTGCAGATAAAATGTTTTATTTTTAAACTGAAACAATTTTGATTTGAAATTAACCCCTTACTGCATAAACTATGAAGGAGGTGTGATATAAAAAATATTTTTTACAAATATTTTTGTATTTATAGATATTTTGATATCTAAAAATCCTTATATGTATATTTTTGATACTACAACTTTTGATTTTTTTGGTAAAATAAGTACATTCTTATAAACTAAAAAAAACATGATTGGCGTCGTATGCGGTAAGGGGTTAAAAAATATGTAATGACAAGAAACAGCGCTTGTATCGTGTAATGTCGCGATAATGAGGTGAGTGTGTGCAGGGAGTTGCGTACCTTGCGCATGTTGCAGCGAGTGTTGCAGCGAGTGTTGCAGCGAGTGTTGCAGCGAGTGGTGCAGCGTGTGGTGCAGCGTGCAGTGCAGCGGGGCGCCGCCGGGGGGCGGCGGGGGCGTGTAGCGGAACGCGTGCGGCTCGGAGGCGCGCCCGCCCGACCGCACGAACAGCTGCACCGTCACCGGCTCCGATATGTCCGTGCGCACGTACGCCGGCACGCAGCACACCAGGTGCGTCTGCAACACGCACACATCGCTCGCGTCACATAATCCGCCGGTAGCTAAGTGAATCTCAGTGGAGACTCTATTCTTTGTCTTTCTTGTCTTAGGGTCTACTCCATGATATATTAAGGAACATACTAAAATATATTTTTTTTAAGAAGAATAAAAATATACGGAGTGTTCTTTTATCTACGATTTGACTTTATCTGGAAGATCACAATACCTGTTGTAGGAATTCCTTGTCGGGTACGACCTCCTCCTCCCACGTTGTGTGTCCGTCCTGACGCTGGCAGAAGACGACGCGCGTCTCCTTGAGGAAGTTCTTTCCGAGTAGGTACAGCTCCAGGCCACCAGTCGCCGGGCACGACACCAGTGATTTGCGGCACACCTCCGGCACACCGGGGGGTTGAGCTGTAATAAACAAGGACAATATAACAACAGAAGCTTCCAGATAAAGATTAATGTAAATTTAGTGTAGATACTGACTGCATATGATCTGCGTGGAGCAAACTTGCAGCGTCTCAGAGCGTCCGCTGGCGTCTACGATGTCTGTGCGGAACACCATGCGGCACCGCGTCGACTTCTTCTTGCCGCGTGCAGAGTGTCCGCCCCCCGCACCACCAGCACTGCCCCCCAGTGCCTCACCGAAACGGTGCTCCACGTCCACGTTACGTTCCTGTTATAATTTAAATGTTCCACATAAAATTTAACTCAAATGGACGAAATAATATGTTTAGCGATGGGGTAAAACATGTTCTTTTATATGATGGATTTGTTCAATTTTTAAAACTGATACAGCTAGATTATCATTGTTATTGTTGTCGACATAATGTAAGCGTCGTAAAAACATTATCGTATATTAAAGGCATAGAAATAACAACATTAAGAATCTATTATCGAATAGAAGCAAGTAAAGCGTGGTACGAAGACGCGGAGGCGCATTGACCTAAGATAAAACGTCGCGGCGATACGTCGGGGACAAAGGCCGCGACTGACCGCCCCCCGCCACCCGCCACCTCCAACCCCCCGTACGCCGCGATAACGCCCCGCGCACCGCACACTTCCGATTGTCCACTTATTTAGGGGACAATGGAATGCAACGACATATTATTCTCGAATCAGACCAATCGAGCTTTCGTTGCTCAATCAGATATATATATATATAGATTACTAAATTGGAAATGTATACTTGCGGTAGATGACATTTAATTTGCAATAAATAAAACGCAGGGTACAAGAGACATATTCATTTCAATTGGATAAAGAAGACCTGATGTGGTAATGAATGAATTAGTTGTGGTGGGTTACCTTGAGTATGCCGACGCAGTCGCAGGTGACCTGCCAGTTCTTGCTGGGGTCTAGATCTAGCTCTATGAGCACGGTACCGTCCTCCTTGCGCTCGCGGCACGGCGTCGAGTTCTTACCGGCCACGCGGCAAGCCTGGTAGAACATGTGGGGAGCTACGCGCCCGCTGTCCGTGCCGATAAACACCTGGTGACAACAGTTACATCAGTGTTTAGCTGTGTGTGATAAGTCAAATAAAGTCAATGTTTCAGTTAAGATATGGTATGTTTAATAACAAATTGAGCCTAAGATCTATTAGTATAGATGATGGAAAACCTCTGAGGAATAAAATGAGTTAAAAGAAAGTGATAAAGATACCTGCAGGACGGCAGGCTTGTCGTAGCCGACCAGCTTGACGATGGGGAAGCCGTTCCCGGAGTTGTCCTTGACGGCGCCCCGGCTGCCTTCAGTCTGATACCTGGAGACAGTACAAGACTTTAATTACTGCTCTAGATAAAGAAAATCTTTATGAGATCGGTATTAAGGTGCAGACAGGTGTCTGTAAATTTCTCTCTCTTCAAAACAGTACATGAAGACGAAGATCTACGTATGATAAGTATATTAAAGGTATGAACGAACCTCGCTCGATGCTGTGTTTCTGGCTGGCAGAGGATCTGCAGTTCGACGCTGCCATCCCGCGAGCGGCTGGAAAGCGGCGCAGCGAGGCCGGGCGGACCCGAGTGCGCCATAGCGGCCAGCGCGCGCCGCCTCGCCAGCGCCTGCGCCAGCTTGCCGCCGTACTTGCCCCCCAACTTGCCGCTCAGCTTGCCACCCACGCCAACCAGCTTGCCTCCACCCGCGTACTTGCCGGCGAGCTTGGCGCTGGTGCCAAGCTTACCCCCGCAGGCCCGGTACGCCGGCTCCTGGAACCGTTTACCCGGACTCTCCGAGATGTTTGGACTAGATAAACTGCACCCCGCTCTAATCCTGTAACGAATATTTACTAATAAATATACTGAACAGAGAAAACAACACGGATCCATCTAAACTTTTGAAAATTAAATACTGGCAGAATTTTAATAATAAAAGTAAAACACCATTAAAACGAGGACTTACCGCTTGCATTAATCTCATAGTAAATATAAACAGTCCGCAATAATAATTAATCCGTTGCTTGACACAATGCCTTCCATAGAATTGAATGATCCGCGTCTATAATTTAAGACACGTCCTAGGTAATATTATTCCATATTCGAAAAAAAAACGAAATTCATTTCTCTCCGTACGTAGTTAGTACCAGACACCATAAAATATCAATCAAGTGAATCGGACTGCCCTTTGCCACAAGACTCCACTTGCGAATTATATCCATAAGAGAAACAACAAGCTTTCTCCAACCCTCCTTGTGCGGGAAAGTTACCTTACGGACCGGGTTAAGGGTTAAAGATCAAATATTCCTGAGCCAGGTTAGCTTGGCTTTCATCGGTAATTATTGAGAAATCATAAACAATGTAAGTTTTCAAAACTTTGATATGATATTCAACTATTAAACACTGCGTCCTGATAACTAGACTGGAGAAGGTTTCTATGAGTTTCATTAAAGATTGTCTACAGAACTACATTATGGGATTCAGCATTTAGTGCAATTGTCGATATCAATAAGTTTAAGAAGCCGTACAACAAAAAAATCTATTCAAAAACATGGTTGTTTATTACATACCTTTGTGGGTATAAAATAAACTATTAAAATGTCGTCAGATTTCCTTTCACTATATTTATTTTTTTATTTCATTTATAATATATTTTTCACTGTATTGATGTGAAAATTAATAAAGGTCGTAGGAAAAACACGTTTGTTTTGGAGAAATTTCCATTTAACACTGAAGAGGAAAAATACAACATCAGTAAATAGGATATTTTTATCAAAAGCCTTTCGAAAAATCGTCCCTATTTACTGTGATACAATCGATTGATACAATAAATAAGGTTATTATGTTTTTAAAAGCGGTAAACTGTATAGTTGACGGAATATTCCAACATCTTGGGATTAAAATTGACTAAGCCAAAGAACCGCTTGGGATGGACTTCTCACACAGGACAGGAGTTTCCAAATATGGCTCGCGACCTACGAGTGGGGTAAAATTGGGAGTCAATATTGAATGGGGATTGAAAGATCACATTAGTAGATTTATGGAGCTAACAGCTTTGGGAAGACGGCCAAGAGGTTACCAATTTTTTTTGTTAGGTGGGTCGGACCAAATCTAGTCTTGAAACCACTGGTTTAGGCACACCTCTTGTGATGCAGAAAGGGGGAGTGGCTGCGAGTTATGCAGATTTATAACGTACGTGTAGTGCTGACGATGCGATAAGGCTCTCGCCACACGTCACGTAGTGTTATGACGTGGCCGTGTGGAACGTGCCTATCTCAAGATCTATCACTTCTCTATTTTAGACTACAAATAAAACGAATCCTACATCAACCATATTCTTATTTCCGGAAAGTGATTATTATTGTCCACTGTGGATCAAATTTTTTTTTTGCCTTTACTTTTCGGTTCCCACATAAATCAATTATTAATGTCGCAATCTCCACAATAGTGAATTCTACATCTGCTTTGAAAGTTAAAGCAACGTACTTGGAAGGTTGTGACCATTTAAATCGGTAATATCTGCATGCTACCTCTGAGTGACATGGATTTAGCAATAGCATTGGATTTGGTATAACTCCCACCAACTTTGATAAACACTAGCTTTTGTTTAGACATTATCCAAATCGGTCCACCAGAACGAAGTTCATAATACAGAGGAATTGAGAACATCCTCCGCTTTGAAGTGGTTTAAAAAAAACTGTGCAACGTACACGGGAGCGGGCAGCTGAGTGGACGGCGTGTCGAGCGGAGCGGGCGCGGGCGCGGGTGCGAGAGCGGGCGCGAACGTGTACGCATCAATGGCGTCGTCGCACTCTACCTTAACCGGGTCCTCGTCCGCGCGTCGCCGCTTCGCCTCACCATGGTCCCATTCCTCCGTCGTGTCCGCACATCTGAGCACACGCGGCAATACATCCTTTACACTACGAATGGTAGATTTAATTTAAAAAATTTCGCCTATAATATATTAATAACTCTTGTAAAGGAATGTCAGGAAAATTTAGCGAATTGATTAAAAATATAAGAAATTCGATTTTCACTTTGATCATGTGAACCTAACTTGGTGTATATAAACATCCATTGTATTTTTCATTTAAGGAAAACGAATCCAATAGCCACTAAGAGATATATCTTTTATCCTATCATCGTAATGGGCAACCGCTAGCTCTGATGTGTAAGATTATTTTAATATATTTGCCACACATGTCTGTATTACATCTTCTATAAGGGAGCGATAGATCAGACTTAATAAGATCAATTAAGTATTGAAACCTAAGGACATTAACGAGACGGTCACGTAACTCTGGCGCATAGTATAACATTTTGTTTTCGTATGCAATAGAGTAAAAATGCCTTCTACACGTAAGCAAAAGTTGAAAAATGTTCACAAGAAAATAACGCGGAACGTTATTCGAAAATCGATTTAAAACGGAGATAAATAAAATTGATTTCAGCTTACGAATGGTTAGCTGCGAGTGCAGCGCTTGCGGCCATTGATTATTTGCGAATAAGAGTGGGTGGTAAGTCATGAGGTCGTGAAGCAGATCGTGCCGAAAATACACGCACGTGCACGGCATACCTCGTGCTGAACGTTAACGCAAACCTAAATGTATTGATATCCGTATCCATCTGTATCCTTATACCGATACGATGGGTAAAAGTATATCCATTTCAACGTCATTGTATCGTGTTTTACTAAACTTCTCAGAATATTATTTCCCCGTAGCATAATACAGATTGTTGTAAGCAAAAACAAAACGACCTGAACTTAGTGACCAAGTCATTTTGTATGTTAACGCTTCTAAACTACAATTTTGAGGCATTGGGAACGATAATGCCTCAACCAGTTTTATTCAAACCAGTTCGAAGCCGATTCGATTGCATTACCTCAATAGATTGCCAGTAACTTACAGTTCCATTATCTAACACGACGTAATTGTGTTAATTGTACACTAAAAACGTAAATAAAAAACGTTTTAGTAACGCACGTTGGGTAAACGTTTCGTCTTTATGTTGTATGTAATAGAGTTTAAATTTATAGAACATTGAAAACGTAGTGAATTGTCACGGATGTATGCGAATGAAAATATGCTCACAAGGCACTGTTTGAGACATTTAAGTCGAAGTGTGAACGTTTTTTGTTAGAGTAAAGATCTTCTTGAATGTATGACGAATGAATGACCGAATGACATTTAATTATACGTCAAATGAGCTTAAATAAACGTCAAAAAATAATGTATGTCTGTAGGCGTTCTTTCAGAGCTTTTGCTTATATAGAAAAGACATTTGCTTTCCTTGCATATGAACTCTTGAAGCCTAGATCAGATGGAGTGGTTATCTTTTTTTATACTCATGGATAGGCATGTACTTAGATATCTTTTTTATGCTAGGCAATAGATTATTTTTAAAGAATAAATCGGCGAAGAGTTCTTGTATTGACACGAAGTTAAGAATTTTCTTGATTAACTTAAATTTGCGTTTATTTTCCTTTGTGGATATCAGTAACAATTGACAGTTTATGACCCGCACAAACATAGAGGATTGGAGATACAAGTGTTTATATACTACACTTAAAATATAACATCAAGAAAGCTCAAGCACATATATTTCGGCACTTATTTACACTGCCGTGAAATCATCTTGGACCCAAAATATGTAGATACATTATGTTATGTATATATAGGTCAATTGACCGACGCGTGCATTATGTACTATGTACTATGATATATGTAATAAGCGATGCCATGCGTTTAGCGGGCTTTATGTATACCCATTGCATAAACAGGACACTGTACTAAATATTTCATGCAATGATAATGTTTCATATTATGTACATTAGGTAACTTTTCAATTTAGTATTGCGTAGGTTGTCTTAACTTAAGATAGGAAGAAACATCTGTACATCATGTTTTCATTGTCTTGTTTAAAGAAAATTAATGTTATTCGAAAAAAACTTGGTGTATATTTACTACCAAAAATATACATAAAAATTAGAAAGAAAAATTTAAAAGGATGATTTTTATTGTCTCTAATTACGTATTGATTCAACATATGATGAGTCATTCGATGTATTAATATCGTTTAAAGTAAAGAGGGCAGGCGCCAGGCGTTATCGTTTGCCATCAGACAATCTAGTACTCGATAAATACACCTAAGAATTTGTTCGTAAGATTGCACCAACTAGATAAGAGTACACGAAACGTGCTCTATTACATATCACCACGCTTACGAAGGTTAAATAATATGTCGCGCAAATTACTAAATAATAGTGTTAAATCTTTTAAATACAACAGGATATATAGAGAAAGTTATCCAAATAATACGTAAGTTAACATAATTGTTGTTGATTCTTTGTCATCTGACTGCAGTTTAGCTTTCTCATAATTTCCCCGACAAGTATTCAATAAGGTTTTGTAAGCATACACTAATGAATCTGTTGTGAGTACAACGTATTCGCATGAATATACTCGTACATTCACTCGTAATCATTAAATTCCAATTAAACTACTGTTTGTTACAATTATTGTTGTAATCATGTTGGTTGGACCACTCACATAGATTAACATAATGAAATACAAGGTGTAAATATTATGACCGATGAATTTATTGAATTTATAATGAATACCGTTTTGTACAAGTATGTATTCTTAAGCTAGATAAAGATAGACATTGTGGTTACGAATTAGCAGTATCAATATGTGTAAACCACGAGTATATCGCGAGTGGATGAATACAGACATTGTGAGGCGCTTGTTAGCGTGTTAGGACGATGATATGCTATGATATATTATACAGACATGTACGCTAGCGGTTAAGCCCGTAAGGCGACATAACACAGAGCGGCGAAGACCGGAGACCGGCCGAGCGTCTCTCACCTGTTGACTGGGTCCGGACCGAGCCCGCTGTCGTTACTGTTCTCGCACGGTTCCGGCGGGCGCAGCGAGTGCGTGTGCGCGTAGTGTGACAGTTTGCCGAGTTTGCCGAGGTGCGCGAACTTGCCCGGGTTGTGCGCGCTCTTGCCCGGGTGCGCCATCTTACCCGCGTGCAACATTTTGCCCGGGAGCCCCGACTTGCCCGGGTGCGGCCGCTTATGTATCACTTTCCTGTGGACCCGCGCGCTCATCGTCGCTGTCGTCGACATAGTCATTTTCATGCCTGTCAACAAGCAAAATGATTATTAGACAGTTCAAGCAAATGCGTTACACAATGACTTACTAACCGTGGGTTTTTGAGATCAATATCTCCGTTTAAAACATATTGTTATCTCTGTATTATCAAAGATAATAACAGGGTTGAGGATGTGTTTTATACAGACATTTTGATCTCAGAAACCAACGGTGAATTTTTCAACCACGATGAACGGTTTACAGATAAATATTAATATATAATGCGACAAACTTATCTGATCTGATGAGAGGCTCTGTTACTTCTGCCAGAAAATAAAAAAATGCAAATCTATTGGGGTACAGAAAATGACACAAAAGACAAGACCATGACTAGACAGCTAATGTACGACAAGGGTTTTGTTTTTTTGACATTGACAAGGAGGCGCTAGTGAGCTATGATAATTTAGTTTTACTTATGCTCACAGGGTCCAGATAAGTTTGTCGGACTATAAGTACAACTTAATAGTATGTTATTGTACACAACGGAATATATGACAATAAATTAACATACAGAACCTCCTCCTTTTGGAAGTCGTTTAAAAATATAAGTAAACGATAACACAACCCTAATTTTGATAAAGCCAGTCTGCATAAGTCTTTTTAAATGTTGTCATGTCTCCAGTTTATATTTTAAATACAAATACATACATAATTAGATTTTTTTTAAGTTCGAACAACTTCAAACTGTAGGTACATTATTAAGGATAATCGCATAGTAAATAGATGAATAACAAATGTCTCTTAGTATTCTTAAAGCAAGGATAGCTAGATAATATCTTTATTAGTTTTTACAATGACTACTATGAATTAACTCGAAGCAAAAAACTTGATTTTATTAAAACCAGTCACCCACCAGTATTGCGTGATATTTTTTATGAATCAAGTTGACAATGTTTATATGAAATTATTAAACGAGCAAAATTCTCATTTATCGTGTATTTCACGTTTTATTATGTTAATTGTTATTGTAGATCCGTGATTAAATCGACTACGAGGCCATATTGGTTAAATGTTAAAAGCGCGCCAAACACTAATCCGTGGCGGCCATTTTGTAACTATATAGTAGATTTTACGACAGATCGCAATCTCGTTTATAGACGACACGCAACTCATAAAATTACGAACGCGTTCAGGAATACCAAAATCATATTGTTTTATGAAATTTCGGACATTTTATTAAATTACTAAGATCCGAAGCGTCAGTTGGGCAGTTGTTAAGTGGACTGTTACGGACTGGACCGAAATCTAGGTTCGATTCCCTTCATGTAATTCCGCGCGGTGAGAGTTTTGAGAGAGAGAATTAGAGCGTCGGTGGCTCAGTGGTCAAGCACTTGACTTGCAATCTGCAGGTCCTGGGTTTGAATTCCGCCATGTACCAATGTGTTTTTCGATTTCCGATTTACATATGTACATTTATCCGACGTTCTTACGGCGACGTTCTTATTTGAGAAGAAATTCAAAGATATGTGTGAAGTCAACCAACCCGCACTTGGCCAGCGTGGTTGACTATGGCCTAATCACCCTTAACTTAGGGTAGGCTCCGAGCCCCTCGGTAGGGACGTATAGTGAGCTGATGATGATAAATTCCGCGCGGACGGAGTCGCCGTCAAGCTGGTGTATACTTACATCATATAAATAATTCCTCATCGTCAATCTATGTTGATTTTATACAATACAAAATAGACTGTATTACAATACATAGATTAAAATTCAGAAAATGTTAAACTAAGTTACAATAAAGTTTCATACGAAGGCAAAACTTTTCTAAGACTCGCTGAGGCAGGATTTACGTAACCGAAGATAATCCCAGAATATGCTAAACTGATGCGACTTACAAGTCAAGGTTTTTATTTCTTTTTTGTCCATAGTTTTATAGAGAAGTAAAACTACTGATGCGCAAAAACATTTATCTATTATTTATTTAACTATTATATAATTTTGAGAAAACTATAATACATACAAATATTTGTCTGTTGTCGATGTTTTTGTACGAGTTTAGAAAAGTGGAAGCTGATAGTAACTATTGTATTATAACAATATAACTAATTAACGTCTTATTATAATAAATTTAAATTTGCAAAAATCACTAATAAATTTGTAAATAAATGAACATCGGTAGTCTGGGAAAAGGTGGATTGTGTGAAAGGTGACATGAAGAAAGGTGTGACGACTGAGATGACGGGTGATAAGAAGGATATAACCTTGTGCACCTTATGTAAGTGGGACAAGGACAGAGAGATGATGAGATGTAGAGAATTAGATGTAGAATATTGGTAGCAATGTAACAATCTTGTGATCGCCATTTTATGACGGAAAGTAATAAAATGGCCGTTAAATATCAGTGCCGTTATAATTTTATGACGATGGCCGGATTAATTGCATTCACGTCTGATGTTCACATGAAATTTTGATTGCTTAATCTTTGTATTTACGTTATATTAAGATTTATTTTTATGTTCAGTTTCAGCTAAAGTATAATTTGCGACATTTTTTCTTTTAACCATATTACATAAATTACGTAATTTAAAAGGCGAGTTGTAAACAGAACTGTTAAGTCTCACGATTTTGGGTCTTTAACACGAGGCTAACCTTGATATAATAATTTGTTCGAATAAAAATGCAAGCCGCGGCAGGCTTGAGTAATGCCCGTTCTCTTATCTATCACAAATCTACTTGACGAACATATTGTATTCAGGCGAAGGATGCTATAAACCTGGATCGTTAAATTCGCCTTCGCTGACATAATCTTACATTTGGTTATGTACGCGCTTAAATAATTTTCAATCGTCGCGACGTTGTGTTGAGCGGTAAATGACGAGAAATATTTTCAGTATAAAAGAGATATTTAAAAATTAAAAAAGAAAATCTTCCTACGATTGCCTGTAAACTTTGTTGAGACGAGGACGTCAAAGAAGGTTTGCGCACAACAAATCTTCTCGTTCGTTTGCCACCTTATGATATAAAAAAAAACAGGACAAACCTTATGTAATATTTTATAAAATTAAAATAAACTTACAGTTTCGATCAAACATCCCAATTAAATATAAAATTAATAAGGTGACAAACATATTTACATCTTTATTTTCACTGATTGTATTTCACAAACACAAATTGTAACATTTAACTTCACTAACAATATTGTCATAGTTTAAAATTTACCAAAAACAGGCGCATCTTATTGAAAATAGCACAAACGACTACTGCTTGCATACAAATCACTCGTATATATAAGTTCCAAGTGGCCAGGGATACGAGGGCGATAGTATTATGCGCATAGACAATCAGACAAGTTTCAAACATCGCATGTTTTCTAGTTTCTGACCTATTACTTCAACATCTACATTGTTCAATGTTATTCTGTGTTTACAATGCATTTTAATTTCAACTTTGCTTCGAAAATATCGTTTGCAGATATACAATTGTTAGCACTTGTTTTCGCCCGCGACTCTATCCGCGTGGAATAACAAATAATTAGTAGCCTATGTGTTCTTCCAGACTATATCATTGCAAATTTCAGCGAGATCCATGCAGCCTTTCTGGCGATACTTTTAAACATCCATCCATCCAAACATTTGCATGTATGATATTAGTAAAATTTTATACAATGGAAGATGATTTTTAGTCTCCTCTTTTTTCTATCTTCTCTCTTTCTTGTAGCTTTTTAGTACCTTTAGAATCCGATCAGACTGGGGTCTACTGAGATATATTCTGCAAATATGTACTTTGGACCCGAGACAAAGTACGATTAGCAATGACTAAGAATTGATCGGTCGTACTACAGAATTTGTACTTAAGTGACCTGAGGAATGACGTCACATGCGTCATCAAAATAAAACCCCCGTTCAGGTCGGTCCTGATTTATGAATGAATCCAAAGTCTTTACCAAGAATGAGATAAATGACGGTGAGTCACTTTAATTCATTCAATTGAACAATTTATTTTTGAATTTAAACTAACATTTTTTAGAAACAAATTTTACAATTCGATTCATAAATGAAATAAATAAGAAATCTTGAGAGAGTATAAAAAATTAAATTTGGAAAATATAAAGAACATCGAATTAATTTATCTAACGACATTTAGAAAACTGTACGATTAGGAACCGATGTTCAGTTGATTGGACGGATCGACTAAGATGAATAAAAAACAGTTAAATTGAACACCTGCAACATTCTTACATACTGCAGATAGCAGACACTGAGCTATTTTTGCAACATCAAGTGGCCACTAGTTTGCCAACATTTACATTTAAAAAAAAAAGATGTAATAAAATTTCTACATGCAATAGTAACCTGACTACAATGCCATTGACACTCCCTAAACTGTTGTACAAATATGCAACCGCATTTAAAAGTTATCCGGTTGTTGCGATATTCATGACTAGCGTTGAATTGTTATTTGAGGTTAATCGCTCACTCGTTCACCTCCTTTCTCCAACATGATCTTCCGTGATAGTCAAACCAGGTAAGTTGGGCCTATAATTTTTGTTTTTATGTTACTAGTATTATAAATGCGAATGTTTGTTTGGATGTTTGTTAGACGGTATCTAAATATTTTTTACATTATTAGTTAGAATCCTTTGGCGCGAATGGCGCGCTTTCGTCACAAAGTCCAGTATCAGAATCTGCATAAGCGATCACGAGGTCGGGGGTTCGAATACCACCATTAGACTATTGTCGTAAACCATATCCTAGAACAAGCCTAGAGCTTTGTTGGAGTGGTAAAAGAAATATTAGTAAATTTACAAAAAAAAACTGCTAATGATTAGTGAGGGGACATAAACGTTGAAATTTTAATAAGGCTAGTGTTGCGCCAGTACACCAGCACAGTGTCGGATTTTCTTCCTAAAAGTTTGTAAAGTTTTTTTTAATTCTGAATAAACTCGCGGACGCCAGCTAGTTTTGTATAATTTAATAGACATAATAGTCTGAGTCGCATCAGTCGAGATAAATACGATTTTATCATGTTTGCATAAATAAATACTTTGTT